TCTTTTATTCTTGAATTTTATTTTCTTTATTCTTGATTTTTATTTTCCTTTTCCTTCTTGCCTTATTGACCATATTCATTCTTTGTCACGTCCACTCTCACTTATATCTCGTGCCGATTTACACACTATCTCTCCACAATCACATTCACTTATCACTCCTACTTGTCACACACACAACATAAGAACCGATTTTATATTTTCTCCTACAAAACACCTTCCTCGTGGGATCGATATCTTAAATACTATAACTTGACACGGTTGTGCACTTGCAACCTTTTTGGTACATGTTTATGCCGCATCAAAGCCCACTTTTTCCAACTATTTGCATCCAAGCTCATTTGAGGCCCAAATGTTTATCTTGTGAGCAGCACATCCGGTTTCCCATTCTTTTGCATAAAAGCCCACTTTTTCGGCCCAAATGTTTATCTTGTGAGCAGCACATCCGGTTTCCCATTCTTTTGCATAAAAGCCCACTTTTTCCAACTATTTGCATCCAAGCTCATTTGAGAATAAAGAGGATTTTGCTTCTTTTGGACATTTTGGCTTTTGGCTTCAATTGATCATTTTCTTCACTTGCTTGATGGACTTCATGCTACAAAATTAAGAAGAGAGATTTTGAGGGGTTTTTTATATTTAATAATATTTATTTATATTTCCATTCATTTATGTATAAACTAATCTAAAAACAATTATTAATGGTATATTTATTCATGTAAAATAGATAATGAGGATATAAAATTGTAATAAAATATGATTATCAACATCATAGATGGTGAAGATTGATGTAGCTCCATAGTGTCCAGATGAGACCATATCCATTAGAGTGCTGACTGATGTGATGCCAAATGAGCACAGTGATGATTTCGAGGATACATGTACAATAGAGCAGGATCAGGGACCGACGGCTTAGGTTCATGATTATTTACAGTTCAAAGACCAAGGAGAGATATACGGTTGCCAGCGCAGTATACAAATACCGTGGTTGCTTATGCACTTTCGATGGAGAGAGTCGACGAGATAGTTCCTACTACTTTCAGAGAGGCTGAACAGAGTTTAGAGGCTGATATGTGGCAGGGTGATATGTAGGAAGAGATGGAGTCTCTTCAGAAGAATGACACATGGGAGTTTGTCGAGCTTCCAAAAGGGCAAAATGCAATCAGTTGCAAATGGGTGTATACCAAGGAGGACATTCAAGGCACTCCCGTAAGATAATTGTTTGGTGAGGAATCAGAGTTCGTGGTTCTTCTCGGCTGTGATCGAATCTTATTGTAAGTTTCCATTTGTTGGATCCACTTTTGGTGATGACGCAACTCAACCCAGCAATGGTCAAACACGAATGGCTTACCATAAAGGGATTGGTATAATTCTTTTACTTCTGCAGTCTACACAAGAGTTAAATTTAGAATAATCAAACATATAAGTTAAATATTTACATAAAAACATATAAGTTAAATATTTACCTGGTCAATAATTCCCGTACCAGATCTTTGTCTTCCTTCAATCTGAGCAACGCACCCGCAGAACTTGTTGACAGACAGTTGAATCGTTGACCAACGGTGCATCATTTGATTTGGTGTGCGGCTCGTTGGATCGGTGGAGTATTGGATAAAGTAGTCGTTAGCTCTGTGTCAGAACTTATCTTTGTGTTGCCCCGTACCTTGGATGGCGTCTTGGCTCGTGTTCAGCCAAGCAGACACAAGAAGCTTATCCTCGTGGACAGTCCAATTTTCGGACCGCGTGTAAGCCTTCTTCTTCTTTGTGGTCGGTGTTTCTTGGGATGACACTTGTTGTGTTGCGGATTGCAATAACTCGATAGGATGACCTTCTTCTACGACTTCTGTATAGAACGGCGAGTATAAGGTCGATCCTTCACCGGTAAGGAGTTGCGAATAGTAGTTGTTTTGGGAGGGATCCATGAGATTTGTAATTTGATAGGAAAATATATAGTTTGTTTTATGAGAGAGTTGTGTGGATTGTGAATTGTGAATTGTGAATTTATAGAGGTTTTTTTACTGTTCAACAGCAAGAAAATTTTCCCACAACGTCATTTTCATAACTCAACGGTAAGAAATTTTTTTACTCAACGGTAAATTTTTGACACTCAACGGTTCATTTTACACTTCAGTCTCATTTATTTCAATTTATTTCAATTATTTCAATGGTAAGAAATTTTTTACACTTCAGTCTCATAACTACAACGCATAGATAACCCTCCAATTAATTATTTCCTCAACCTTCGTCCCTAAAAATTCTGCCCTCTCATCGAGAACTCAGGGGAAAAAAACCCAAAATTTTGCCGATTAAATCTCCAGAAACCTCAAAATTTTTCGTTGCGAATCCGGAATTCTTCATCATCCCAACTCAATCACCGAACCTAACCTCTGCTGCGATGACGGCGATCACCGACAGTGAAATCATCGTCAGCGATCACGCGGGCAAAGGCAAGGAATCCGACGAGAACAAGAAAAATGCCGATTCTTCCTCCTCCTCTTCAATCCAACGATCCTCCAGCCGAAACGCCTCCTCCAAATACGATTTCGTTAAGGTCAGTGATTTCCTTTATTTTTGATTTTTGCTTTAATTTTGGGCAGATCTGCGAAGGTGTACTTTTTGAGGGGGGTTCTTGTTAAATTCCGGCCAGTTGGGAGCTCCCAAGAGCCACACAAATTTGTGGAGCGGAGCGCTTGGGAGCTCGGAAGCTCTCAAGAGGCACGTCAGCCTTGAGAGTGGGGCTTGGGAGGGTTTGGGAGCTTGCTGGAGGGGGGGGGAAGAAGTTTTCCACGGCCACGTCAGCCTTGAGAGCTCTGAAGAGAGCTTGCTGCCCTTGCTCTGTTTTCGTCGAAAGTTGTTTTCATTGATGATTCCATTAAAACTTAGATTGTTTACAGAGAATTACAATAAAAAATTGAGAAAATTACAACTCTATTGGAAAATAACACAAAAATCGTCTATCGATTCTTGTTTTGTGGGATTTTGCCTGTACCGGGAGTGCTTTGACTCGTGGACCGCCAAATCACAGATCGTGAAGGGGGCTTAATGATTCTTCCTTCGTTTATCGAAGTGAGAATTTGAAACGAAGATCTTATCAAAGTAAGACAATCGTTCTTCTTAAGATCAAGTCAAAGCTTGAATCTCAAGGAATCACATCAAAAACTCAAGTCTGCTCTCTCTCTGCTCTGGATTGCTCTATCAAGTGCTCGATCGGATGCTCTCTAATCAGCCCCCCTTTGTAACCTTTGTCCCACTTGGATGCTCTTTAATCAGCCCCCTTTTGTAACCATTGTCCCACTACCTAAATACCATCCTTTTATGATGTTAGTGGGTCTCCTTTCAGTTTGTAACCATCTCCCCACGTTTATGGTTGATCTCAAGTAGTTATGAAGCCAAAAAAAAACCGTCAAAAAACGTGTTGTAACCAACTCTATGGCCGAGACAGTGAAGTCTGTCTCGCACTTCCGAGACAGTTTGTACTATCTCGGGTATTTTGGCTCTAACTCTCTTGTCTGATATCGGAATGAGATGATCCAAGATGCGTTGGAAAGATGACGAAGAGATCTATAACTTTTGTCTTTTGACCTTCTTCAGATTTGATGTGAGACAGTCATGACTGTCTCGCATTCCGAGACAGTGAAGTCTGTCTCGCACTTCCGAGACAGTTTGTGTTATCTCAGGTATTTTAGCTCTAACTCCCTCGTACGATATCGGAATGAGATGATCCAAGATGCGTTGGAAAGATGACGAAGAGATATACAACTTTTGTCTTTTGACCTTCTTCAGATTTGGTACGAGACAGTCATGACTGTCTCGCATTCCGAGACAATGAAGACTGTCTCGCACTTCCGAGGCAGTTTGTGTTGTCTCGGGTATTTTGACTCTAACTCCCTCGTCCGATCTCGGAATGAGATGATCCAAGATGCGTTGGAAATCTGATGAAGAGATCTACAACTTTTGTCTTTTGACCTTCTTCAGATTTGGTGCGAGACAGTCATGACTGTCTCGCATTCCGAGACAGTGAAGTCGGTTTCGCACTTCCGAGACAAATTGTGTTGTCTCGGGTATTTTGGCTCTAACTCCCTCGTCCGATCTCAGAATGAGATGATCTAAGATGCGTTGGAAAGCTGATGAAGAGATCTACAACTTTCCATAGGCAAAACACTCATAGAGTAGATGAGACACACATGGTACTTCACCCTTTTGTGGATAAAGCACAACTCCTGGTTGAGTTGTTCCTTTATCGTTTAGCATGTTTCACAGACTCGTACGCTTCGCCGACTTATTTCGTGTGTTTTTTAGCTTCTCTACAATATCAGATGATCTCCTTTGACTCAGATAATCCTCATTGACTTGGATAGTAACATTCATCGTCTTTTTTTTTTATCTCGAGCTATATGCGAGAACCTATAGGCAATTTTTTATGCCTACAGCTCTTATAAAGAAAGCTTCGCGTCACCGCGCTTGAGAAACTCCTCGTTCACTGGAAAGACAGCTGAGGACACTGTTTCGAGTCCTATTTTGTATTGAACAAATGCTTATTAATAAATTTGAA